TATTCCGCCCTCGTTCCTGTGGTTCCCGTACTCGCCCATGGGTGTGTACTATCGGAATGCGTTGAAACATTGCGGCCACGAGGCGGTCGGATTAAATCTTGATACATTGCCGCTATCCACGCGTAAAATTCGCGCGCTCGCGAGTGCCCGTGTACCGTGACCAAACGTTAACAGACACGGCTCTTGGCGAAACACACACACATAGATGCACGTGCACACGCGCACGGTTGCAAGTTGGCTTACGATCGTCGAAAAATCCTGTGATTTATCGACGGCCCAAGTCTCTGATCGTCGATAGTGCACGCTCTATCGTAGCGAATTACTAAGTGGCCACTTGTCCGCCACGGTTCCTTGTACATGAATTATTCTATTCCGTGACCGACCGCGCGTCCAAGCCGGCTAATTGTCGCTTTCTCCGTCGACGAGCTAACTCGCTCGTTAGCGGCTGCGTCACATCGCTTCGTGTTGCTCGTGATCCGTTACGATTGGCGATCCAACTCTAGTGCTAGGAAAAAGCAGCCATTCTTATCTAAACCGGATACCACCACTGGCGGGAAAATTCAAACGTAATTGTACGAACGGGACTTTTTATAGCAAAATTGTAGAAGAAATTATTTTATATTTGACGGTTTGATACTCAACCAACATTAGGTTGAGGAGATGTGATATCATCCATTCAAAAAAGTTTAACTTTAACAAGATCAAATTTGACTCAATAGTATCTAAATTATCATCATACACTCCAATATATAAAATTTTGCATTCTAATATCGGTTCGATGAAATGAGAGATTAAATAGATGCAAAACAGATACCAAGTTCTTTTCCTCTCTCATTACTGCCTCCCTCATTTAATCTTCACGGCTACTTCCGTCTTTTTCCAATTTAGATTAAATATGACGGCGACTAATTAAAATCGTGGGTACGGTTTATCGCTTCCTGAATGGTCACTACTTTCGAAACTCGTTCGTCCAACTCGATCGTCTTCTGCATCTCATGACCTGAAATTTCGCCAATCGAACGCGTCCAAAATGTTATCTAACCGCTTCGCTGGACCGCGTTAACTTTCGGTTTATGTAAGCGTCCGGTTCCATGACGTCATGCGTCGCGAGCTTTATTCTCCTGTGTCCTCTGTACTCGTCGGAGTACGTGGACAAGGGAACGATTGCGTCACATCTTCCAACTGGTATTCGTTGTGCAGCCTCTTCTTGCATTTGTCGCGATCAGCGATCGATCTCATCGATCATTTGATTATTCTATCTGCGCCAAAGTATATATCAAATTTGAAAATTAAGAAGTTTGAAGTTTCGATAATATCGTCACCTTTGCCTCTATGGCAACGATATCTGATCGACATATCAAATTATAGATAGCATACCGATACAATCAAGATTTCGATATCGATAACGCTCCAGCTATGTATCGGCCTCTCGAGCAGCATCATAATACACCTCTAGGTCTAGCAATCGTACGAGCAATGTTCGTTTTCTCGCTGGCCGAAAGGGATAACAGATTTCGTGCAACGTCGAACGTTGCGTGCCGGCCAGGCGATCGTGAATCATAGTGATTACGTATTTGCCGTGGCTCCGCTCGTAGTCTCGGAAATTAGAGAAGCCGAAGGATTATTGCGTTTCTTGCGATTCGCTCGAGACGTTCCGAGCCTCCGGAGACTGCGCAGACCTTTTGACTCGTTTCTTCGTACATTTCGTTCGCGGTGCTCGTTAATTGGAGCTACTGTATCGATTACGTAAAGTCTCGAGCCTTAAGCGTTTACTGCAGGCTATAATTAGTACATTCCTTTTCGAAGCGGTCACGAGTCGCGAAGAAGTAAGCCGCGGTTAGGTACGTGGCTAAACGGCTATGTAGAATGAACTTGATAGCATAGTACTGGGAAATTTTGTCCGTACACACGTTCAAGGTTCTGCGTATCTTTCGCGGCTTTCGCCATTAACTCTTTCTTCTCTGTCGAGGGTGATTATTGTCGTCCATTAACCGTTCCCTGCGTGGCAGAGGTGTCCGTAATCACTCGGTACTGATTACCTATTGATCATACAGAAATAAGGAGATAAGTGACGTTGCAGAACGATTTTCTTTTACAAGTTCAAGGATTAACGCAATGATGTACTAAAATAGGTGTGTACGTCTAGTGTACAGAGATTCTAAGGAAATTCAAGAAAAATATAAGATCCTAGAAAATGTAGAAATAGTATAAAAATTCTTTGAAAGTTCTAAATTGCTTGTGAATCTTGTAGGAAATCTAGGAATCTAGCGAAATCTTCGATAATGCGAAACAGAGAAAATCGCATACTTGCCATGCTATTTAGCAAGAAACTAACGAAGCTTGACTTATACCACTCCCTCACGATATTAATTGAAGGTTAAGCTTTCGACATGCGATGTTATACCAAATAGAGAACTGTATTAAATGACTTAATTATAAGGTGGTTTTTAGGAGTAGTTCCCATTTGGAAGTGTAACTCTTAACACGTCCATTGTGGCAGTGAAAATAAATGTGCGCAGTATGGCGCATTATCATAACATTTGCTCATGTCACGAGTGTTTAATTTTCCAATTCAGCTTTTCAATTTAACACTTCGTATCGTTAGCACAACGTCGTCATTCCTTCAGTTCTTATTTAATTATTCAAGTATGTTAAATTCGTTGATGTCTTGCCAGTCGACGTGTTAATTCCAATTACACGTCCAATGAAAGTGTTGAAAACCAAACGAGACGGATTAGCGAATGAAATAGCGCTACGAGAGAAGCGATGGACGACCGAGAAATACCTTGACGCTTGTCATTCGTCAGCGTCGAAAGGACAAAGGGAGTTGGTCCCAGTGTCCTGCGGATAATAGAATAGATGGCAAATGAGATACGAGATGAAATCTCCAAGACCGAAAAAGGAACAACTGACCAAACGTCTAGGACATGCGTATACCTTACCATGTCGTGTTCTCATAATCGATTAGCCCGTCTAGGCAAAGGAATCCTTTTCTGTAACCCAACACGCATTGGCGTAACTAGGAAGGGACCAGAATGGACTTCAATATCCCTAGAATCAAAGACTCTCTAATATGACGAAATGTGCAATGATACAACGTTGTGATCTAACTCGCGGTGATCTAACAGGTGGTGACACATCACGTAACGACGCTCGTCAGTCACAATGGGTTCTCGATTTAAAACTTGCAGTTTGCAAAATTTTTATTATTTTTTCATTTGAATTTTTTTATTAACAAATGTTTGAGTTCACAAATTATGAAATTATCAAATTATCAAATTTCTACATTTTACATTTGTAGATAACATTTGTATATTTCTGTGCCTAAATTATATTTCTATATTTTCACATTTTTACTGATGATGTTTCACTATCAGTAACTTAGTACTTTTGTGTAGATAATAACAGGCTTTGTCGAATATATTAAATAATTGCATTAAAAGGAAAAAGAACTTGACCTTTAAATCTCCTCCTACGTGTCCATGTAGAAAGTTACTTTCACCAGATAAGCCTGAAATCCTGTAACTGTTATGTAATTTCATTCAAAATATTTAATATTTTCTTTGTCATAGTGTCCTTCAGTTTTCTTGCGGGCTCTGCCCATCAGTGACTCGTGTTGATCCCAGTTACGCCAATGCGACCACATTTGATCCTTCGTTGAACAGAGAGGATGCCGTCAACAGATAAAGAGGAAGGATGAAGCATAAAAAAAAGAGAGATAGAAATTCCACCAGAAGCATTTAGGACTTGTGGCCTTGCGAACGCCTACGTTCCAGTTCTCTGTCTCGTTTCCAAGAGAAGTCTCGTGTTCGTCGTAGCATCCTCTCGTCTCGGGCCGATTTTATTGTTGGCGTATCCGTTCGACGACGCTGCACGTACATGTATACCGTGCCCGTGCTGCGAAGTGGTCCAACTACATGAAATTGAAAGTTAAGCGTGGGTCGATGGCTACCGCCCAGACCGGTCCAACTTTACTCGCGACGTTAAGTTACTGGTTGGTCCATGAAAATATCACCGACCTTTCGTTATGAGCCGACGTTCGACCACCAATGGTATGCGAAAACTTGAGCTTCTATCGTTTTGCTCGGTACCCAACGTTCGCGGATTCTTCTCTGTCCGATCGTAATTAATTAAATAATTTATGACCACCAGACGCGCGAAGGTCGATGAGATCCCAGGATGCACGCTTTTAAAGGGCACGGCCGTAATTAAGCGCGTATAATTAAACTCCGACAATTAGTCGACTATCTTAATATTAATTAACGGATGGTCCATTTTTTACCTCCCTACTTCTGAACGCGATTCCCATGATTCAACTGTTGATACACCCGGTTGAATACACGAGCGTACGAACGTTGGAGAACGAAAGTGAAATCTCTTAAGATCTTCGCAATTGGTAATTGTCCGTGGACAATTGGGGTCAAAGTATTAACGTTTATTAAAGGGTACGATGGAAATTCACTTGCAATCGTTTAAATTGATTTGGGTAATGGAATTTCACTTAACCCTTCGTTTGCGGGGTTCGATCTCTAATAATTCAACTCATATATTATTCTCACATCGTCTAAATCCACTTTCGAAAGTGGCCATTTTTCGAGACCCAACTTACTGTAGCGTACTATTTTTTGGAAATTTTCATACCTCGAAGTATCGCAAAGTATCAAAGCATCGACGTTCCAAAATATCAAAGTATCAAAGTATCAAAGTACCAAAGTGTCAATGTTACAAAATAACATTACAAAATCCTAAAATTTCCAAATTTTCAAATCCGAATATATCAAAGTCTAAAATTCCCACAGTCCTAAAAGTTCCAAAATTTGAGAAAGCTTTCAAGTTCCAGAATCCCAAACTTTAAAACTCCAAAATACCAAAACTCAAAATAGAATTTGGATGTTTGATTTCAGTAGATGCGTGATAGATCTACATTACAATTGACGCAGTCACCGTAACATATGTTTACAGACGGTGTAGAATTCAATCTGGTTCTTGTTTGATCGTAGGTCACGGGCCAATTATTGGACACGGAATTTCAACCAACGGTTACAGCGACATGCAAGGCCGGTCACATGACGATACGGGTGAATCTCAATCAGAGTTTCGTGGGAGCTGTTCATGCCAGAGATTTTCGAACGCCGCAATGCATGGTGCCCGGAAATGGATCTACACACGCGACGCTCGCCATTAATCTACTTGCGCCCAAAGGGTCTCCGGATTACTGTGGTGTCTTCATAAACAATGTAAGAACATTTCTAGACCTTTTAATTAAAATTCCTGCACGAAGAACCACACTAAATACAGTATTCTACGTTTTCATATTATAACACGAATACAATTTAGCGTTAGTCGTAAACTCGTTAGTAGTATTAGTATGAATCTTTCATTCAACAGTGTTAGTTCAACATGTGACAGTGTCACATGAATGCAGCTTCGATTCGTAACTTTCCACGTCATCCTTTTTCCTTGCTGCTGTGTCACGTACCGGTTGCAATTTGGAAATTGCTACCTATGCATCATGCACCGCAGTAACTCTAAAAAGTAATCCCGACAAATATCTTTCAGTCAAAAAATGATGTGTACAAATAGGAGACTCATAGTTTCGATGAAATATGCGTTTGTCAAAGCGTCAAGCACGGAACGTGTCCTCAGGAAGATTCTTCTAAATCTCATAATTCTTGCAGGACACCGAGGAACGTTCCGTTCCCATCGCGGTGAGGATACACAAGACCCTGGAGCTGGCGGACGATAAATTCTACGTGATCACGTGCGGAAAAGCCGGATTCAAAAACGCCAAGTACATAACAGTTTTATTAATATTAGCACGATATCGCGCGGCCAAAGCCGCAATATCGCACGGCACTGATCATTTTTTCGCAGGAACGAGACGTCGTTGGTGTCGTTGCGGCTTTTGGAGGCGGGTCACAAGGTGCAAGAGGCTATTTACGGTCACAACTACACTTTGCGTGCCGAGATCTCGCGACCGGACGGTTCGTAAGCCACATATCTCGCTTCGTTTCACCCTTTACCCTTAATTGGAATTAACGAGCACGCGTAAAACGTTCGCACGAGCGGATGCCGAGGTTACGCTCTGATCGATATCCTTCTCGTTCCAGGAATGTACGGGATCAAAGTGAAATCCTGCTTCGCGTTCAACAAACGAAACACCAGTGTCCAGTTGATAGACGACAAAGGGTACGTCGAACAGTTTGTCTCCTTTTTTGCCGTTAATTAACACCTTGATCGTTACCGACGATCGATTCCGCGAATTCGATTAATCGAGTAACTGGAAGGGATTCGTATTCAAATTTTATACGGCACTTGTGTGTAGTATTTTGTTTGTGGTACAAGTACCATAATAGCATTGAAGCTTGGTTCAGACGAACAAACAGGTCTAGTGTACTTTTCCCGCGTATTTTAGCACGAGAATTTACGCGTGACTCTTTGTCGCGTCGAAAATGTATTATGCACAGACTGTTGAAGCTCAGAAGAATATTTCACTGGTCTCCCTTTCAGCAGTTCTAACAACCGTATGAATCTTTTCAGACGTACACTATACTTCAAAAGTTTGCAACCTACCATGATTTCAAAAGACATACTTCTCTTATGGCTCACCATATTTCAATGACATATACGTTATTGAACGTACGAGTACATATATCATTGATATTTGCAATTGCTAATTGTATCAATAATTAATTGTATTAATAATTAGGCAATTTACTCGTCATTAATTCGTTGTCAATTTAATGAACTCGTATGAACCAGGTCTATTGAAATGAATTTGTACGTGCTGAATGAATAGTTGATCTATCATGTTAAATCGATAATGCACAAATAATGATATCCGAACAGTTTCGTAATCAGTATTAAAACATCAGGATTATATAACTTGAATAGGAACTTAAATCATTTTCAAGTGTCCTCGATTCGATCGTGATCATAAGCATCGATTGCGTAATTCTTGTTTTCCATGACAAAGGTGTCCCGTAAAGGCTCGAGTCATGACGAAATTCATATACGATCGAAACACTGGCCTGGCGGATGCGACATTGTTCTCGATGTTCCGGTTCCCGGACAGTCCACAAGTGCATTTTCAATGCGACATCGCCGTATGCAGAGGTGAGTTGATTCGTTGAATGAGTTTCGATTACAACTACGAATCTGGGTTACAGAATGCCGTTCAACTCTCTCGATTAACATATTCTCTCGAAAGTTTCTGTTTCCTATGTTAGGACAATCAATGACAAATATTGGCGGAGTATTACTCAAAGTCCACGTATATCCAATGGTACAGTTCATTAATGAGCCCCTTTTGAAATAAAATAGAACATTGCATCACTGAATTCCTTTTGAATTATTGAGAACTTTGGTATTCTTGAAAGTGTAGTTTCTTTAATATCTTCGGAAGATCCATTGACAAGGACTTTGAGTTAAATGATTAAAAGTTGTCTACTAAATATGCCTTATGAAAGATAATAAAAGACTTGATACACAAGTACCTTTGAAAATTAAAAAATTTTGTCCAAAATGTTCCAATCAAGAACCCATCGCGTACTAGTACCTTCGAACCTTCAACATCACAGTTAACAATTGAAACGTAAAGGTGAATTTTTGTTCCAGGAAGCTGCGGTATCCCGGTTTGCGAAGGCGATAACGAGGAAGAAATAAAGGGAGCGTCCTTAATTAATGGGCAAAGCGTGAGCGGCGAGGAAGGAGTGCTTCTCGCTGGCACGAGCGTGTTCGTTCTTGACCCTGGTCAAACGCCATGTAAATATAGCTTCGTACTCTTCATAGGCAGTTTCGCTTCCTGCTACTCTTCACGATATCGTGCCTGAAATCACTTTTCTACCTTTTCTTTCTTGGCCGCTTGATTAGCTCCGAGCTCGTTGAAATTTTGCGCTAAACCTTCGCGTGTCTTTATTTTCGTTGAAACAGCTGTGCAGACCCTCTACGAGGACGGAAGCGTTCATCCGTTATGGCTGCTATGGCTGGCAGTAGCTCTCGGCATTTTGTTCCTCATCATGCTTATAATCAACATATTCCTCTGCTCGGCGATGACCTGCAGCTGCACCAGGACCGACATTATCGAGAAGGAGCCGTCGATCATTGAGGACTACGATCCGTATCGTAGCTGGCATGGCTCTCAATATGGCTCGAGGTGCGATTTTATTTCTTCTCCCGTTTCGTTCGTGCACGACAGATACTTCCTTGTTACTTGTAATCGTTTTCAAACATTTTCACTTATTTTCTGTGCAATTGAGATGTTCCGACGATGACAATTCCACGCAATAACGCGCGTGATACCGATCGAAAAGCAACATGCTTAAGAACAAAATAACAGCACGGTAAAAAATGTTAACAGTTAAGTGCTGTCGAGGCACGACGTCCATGAAGATACCAATCGTCCATTAATATAATTGCGGCCTCGCATCAATGATTTTTGTCCACGATGAAATATTTATCAATATTGCCATGATATAATCGCAGGAGTTTTCTGCTTCGACTGCTAGTAAAAAACTGCTTAAACTCGACGATAGGAGCGTGTACAGTCAATGACAAATCTGACTCCTTTCGGGGAAGCAACCCTATGGAAAGAGACTTCAGGGATGAATTATCAATTTAGGGACATAGGAATTTAGGGATTTAGGCATATACGAACTTAGGGTTTTGATGGTCTAGAAATTTGGAAACCTGGAAATTTGAGAATTTAAAAATTTAAGAATTTGAGGATCTATTTTGTGGGCGCAGAATTTTGTGGACGCGGATTTTTGGATTTTAGGAATTTGGAGTCGTAGGAATATGGACATCTAGGGATTTGGGGACGTAGAAATGTTGACATTTAAGCATTCAATAACACGTAAATTTAAAAGTATAAAAATTTAAAAACCTAAGAATTCAAAAATTTTAAACTTAAGAAATATAGAAATATAAAAATTTATGGAAAAATTGTAAAGTCCATATACGTCTCTTATCTAAAGTATCCTACGTTGTAGCAGAGTGTACTTTATATCAATTTCTTCGTGCTGTGGATATTGATTTATGACGTAGCTTTTTCAGAAATCCGTACTTTCATCCCTCAACAAGTTTTTCTACGCGAATAATCTTGAAATTCAATTTATCAACCTGCACAGTGAATACAATGCAAATTGTAGAAGATTTAATTTTTTACCCGAGTTCCCTGTTTAATATTAATATTCTAAGCATTGTTATTGCATCGGTTCATTGTATGCAATGAATCGTTGTTAAGGTAAAGCTTTTTAGTGGCAACTAAATGAATCATTGTCTGTTCAGGTATTCCTTAAACGGAAAGCAAGGATACGCTTCCGGAGGATCGACGATGAATTCCACGAGGTCGATCTCGACGAATAGCGATCACTACGCCATAGTTCATTCGAGACCTGGTAGCCGATATTCTGGTCCAGGACAGAAGCATCATCATCATCATCGAGGGCCACCGTCAAACATTGGCTCTCATTATTCCGGGAAATAGTATCTTGAGTTGCTGAACGATGATACAATTGAACTGTTTTGTCGATTAATGTTCCGAACACGAACTTTTTACTATTGTAATAATTTCAATCACGTGTAACGGGTACTTCGATTCGATGGAATCATTGCTCACACAGGACAAGCTACACGAGTACCAGTGTCAGTAGAGAATATAAATTGATCCTTGACTCGAAACTGAAGCACGACTATAGGCATTTCATTAACACATTTAAACGTTTTTAACGCGTCGACTGTTTTATCACTTTCAACTTAAATACTTGTTACACTGCTCGTTTAATCCGATTATACAATTTCGCTACTTGGTTCTTGAAAACTGACATTGCGATTTACAGTATGAACATTATTAATATCTGACTGATAAGCATCAAATGTAGAAACTAGACTCATATTAAGTTGTTAATAATTTTGTAACTATTTTCACTGAGGCAGTCAAAGTATTAATGAAGAATAATGACTTTGTTCATTTCGCGTTAAGGATTAATCCACGTAGCTTGATACGTCCTCCATAGTTACTACTAATATATTACGTGCGTAAAAAGAATCATAATTCTTGTTAGAGTATTTTTGTACTAATTCAAGTATCCGTATTCTTTCCTGCAGTGAGACAAATCTATAGCATAAAGACAATAAAACGGCCAAATTTCGTACGAACTTTGATTATGTTATGCCGAGGTTTCATTTATTGTTAGTCTAAGCTCGAGACAAGGTTCTTCAACTAGATCGTATAGATATGTATCATATAATAGTCATAAACGTAGGTACTTAGCACTAATAACGTTGCGCAATATTGTACTTGATTAAGCGAAATTAGATAAAAACTTTTGTATATAAAAATCATTGAATGGGAAATCATTACTCGTAATCGACTCATCGAAATCCATGTACTTACACGCGCAACTGACACCGTCCAACTACGAGTATTAACGAATAAAATTTTATATTTTTTATAAGATTTTCGATATTAGGAAAAATGATAGGAACTCGAAATAAAACGTACAGTTTCTCCTATCATTGATACATTTTTGTAATAACTCGAAACATTCCATGTTCAGCGAGTCACAGCTACGTGTCCTTCAAATACATTAAAAATTTGACATAAAAATATAATTTCTATAGCGATGTTTATTTTACCTGAACCTTTCAAGACTTTATTTAGGAGTATAGACACATTTAAATTTTTTCATTTTTTTCATTTTTAAATTCCAAAATACAAAATTACAAATTCACAAATTTTCGAGGTGTAATGAATTATTTTCAGACATGTTTTTCCGAACGTAGATATCGGTCAACTTTTCCTTACACTAACGATTAAATATTAGATAATCAATCACTCGGACTAATTAATCGTCTTTTACAGAGCGTAAGCTATTTCTCCATTCACTGAACAGACGTTAACTAATTTAGAAGTGAACGAACGCAGCAACGAGATGCAACTCACGTGACTCGGCCGTTTTGCAGACAAAATAAACCGTTTCGAAATATTATGGATGCCGCTATTCTCTAATTAAATCTCTGCTCGTTCAGAAGATGAAATTATCAGTAGAAGTTTGCTACCACGGCGGTCAGGATGTACTGCATACCAGTCATTCATGAATATGCCTTGTCACGTAAAGACGAACGTGTATTGTTCGTTTTGTCATACCAAGTATTTCATCGAGGCCAAATTACAAATGAGAATTTTCTGTGTGACAGCCTGCAATTAAATACACGAACAATGTTTCAAAGCATCATTTATGTCCATTCATTGTTGCATGATACTTCTCGACTTTCGATTTGAATTTATAGCATTTAAATCGTGAAATGTTTTTGGTACATTCTTTAGGAAGGTGTTACTTGAAAAATGCTGTTCAACCTTGCATAGAAAGTTCTTCTAATTTTCTTCCTCTTTTCTTCTTTATCTAAATCTTAAATAACATGGATGCTACTTTGGAATGTAAGGAGTTTTCAGTTAATCTCAAAAAGTTTGGTCTGTGAGTAAGTTCTGTGTTGTATCATAATAAAGAACTCATATATTAGGAGGTAGATGTGGTCTTATGTATCTTCTTTTACACGAGCCTACTAAGTGGACTCTAAGTAGAGTCAACTCATTTATCTGGTTAACGGAACTCGATGAGCTAATTGGAGGGTGGTTGTGATTTGGGGATAAGTCACCTCCACAAGGTGTGACCGGATAATCGATATCTCTAAACATTTTTTGGTTCATGATCTCTAAAACATCAAGCCAACAATTTTCATTCAACTTATAATTTCATTTATCATTCAAAATTTATTGCTTATTTCAACATTCTTTTAATATCTTTTTTTGGAACATTCGCTAAATGCACAACTCATGGTTCTAGAAATCGTGCATTAAACGCGCGTGGATTAAACAGACGTGTTCTAAATTCGTTTCAAATCTAGAGAATGTAAAATCACTGCTGTTTTCCACACAATCGATACATATTTCTTAGGATGAGATTTGAAATCTACTTTCACTAATTCGCGCTTTCTATCGTTAAATGATATTTTATGGTTCATGAGATAGAATTTTCTTATTTTCGTTTCTATCGCATTATAATGGTTTCTATTCAGTTCCACTGAGATTTTGGGATGTTTTATTCGATCGAGATAAGCGTGAAAGTTTTTAATTATAAGGAATAATGCGGTTTTGTATTTTATTTATATCGCCGCTCGCTGCTTGATGGCGATAGTAATAGTTTCAAAGAAAGTGCGCATAAACATATATTTTAGAGAACATATAAGTGATGTTTTCAAAACAGTTTCAACTATTTTTATTAATTACTTTTCAATGGACTAATTCATTCTTTGTTACAAAATGAACCAGCTTGCTTTCTGAAGCATGCATTCATTTAAAATTATTATTTCATGTCAATCTCTAATAATTTGGAGAATATTTACAATAAATTTTCTGTATATTGCTGATATTGTCTTTTGAAGTATTTGCATCAATTTTAAAACGTTGTAAAGTTGAAAAAGAAAAGAATATACTCTTGTTATATCTACTCTTTGCCAACGCATGTAGTTATAGAAATAAATATCCCTATCAGGTTGGTACAACTTACTACTGCGATAACAGCGATATCTAGTGGTACTTGAGTGTGTCAACAGTTTGAATAACTTGAATCGTTTAGCAAAATGTAAATAATTGTATTTTGTATGACTCAAAGAAAATAGAAATTTATTTGGAGCATAAACAGTTTGTACTTTCTCTTCTGTTTTTATTTTTTCCTATTAAATTATTATTTATATAAAATTTGATCCGTTTTATATTTTCAGTTTTGCACAAGTGTTTTTATTTTGTCATAATACATTTATTGTATATTTTATAAAAAAATATAATTGTTATTATAATGGAGAAATCATCAGATGTATTTGCATGGACTCGTAAATTGGGATGTCCGCCAGCAATATGCAATAATTCAGTTAAAAAGGCGTCTGTATAATGTTTATCTATCAATGTTTATATATTATATTTCAAATATAATTAAATGTAAATTATTATTGCATATTGTCTATATAGTTTATACACAGGACTTGCTGCTTTTGTTTGGGATGAGTTATCTGAAGTTATCTATCCTGCTGATGAAGCAAAGACGATACATAAAAATATTCTTCTACATCATTTAAAACATGGAACACCTGATAAGATTATTGAATGTATAAAAAAAATATCTCAGATAAAATCTGATAGAAAGAATTTACAAAATCAAATAACTAAATTAGAAGAGGAGTATGAACAACTGGATTTTAAAGTTAGACAAAAAGGTACATTTTTGTTATAAAAAATATGACGTATGTACTTAAAGGACTATTTTTATTTAGCTAAAAAGTTGCAAGATATTAGATCCAAACGTGCAGAAGCAAGAGCAAAAAAAGATCTATTTAAGTTAAAGCATGATCAAACTGCTACGCAGCTTCGTGATTGTAATGATATGAAATTAGTTTGCCAACATTTAATGCCAAGTACTGGTAAAGATTTAGATCCTAAAGTACTGATGGAAGTTTTTGATGTAGTAACAAGTCTTTGGGCTGGAGCAGGCAAAAAAGAAGTATGAATTTATATTCCAAGCATAGTAATAATAACTATTTAATATTACTGAAAGTGTATTTTCAGGTGTGGAATACAGTGTCAAGTAATCTTGATCATATTGAAGTGCCAACATTGTGGCATCACTTGTATGAAAATTTGACACAAGATGTGGATTTGTTAATTCAGTATACATCTACAAAACCTATAGATACAAATAAAAAAGATATAAATATTGGTATTGCTAAAATACATGGACAGCATATTTCTATGGTTTCAAAACAATTACTATATAATGCTGAAGCAAAAGAACATCAGCAAAATGTTTTAGAATTTATAGAAAAGTTTGAGGTATATTACATACTTATTAAATTTTGTAAGTAATTGTAAGTTAAATTTGTTTTTGATTTTAGATGGCTTCAAATAGTTCTGAGGACATTAGTGAATGGTTAGCATTAGCATTGGAAGTCTGTAAATTAGAAAGTGAAGAAAAAACTTTACATGAAGAAATTAACAAAATTCGCGGAAGTCTATGTAGAAGTGATATACTTAAAGCTGAGATATCTGAAATTACTTCGGAAATACAAAATGTTAATGAAGAAAGAGTATGTTCATATATATAAATTATTGCAATTTTAAGTTATATGATTATATATTTATTTTAACCTAATTTTAGATGGAATGTGTGCAAGAAATACAACAATCGTTAAGTCTTTTGAAATCTGCACCGACATTTCTTATGAATGTAAATAAAAAAATAAACTTAGAATTAGAAAAAATAGTAGCAATACGGAATAACGATTATGATCTTTCAGTGTTAGATAATGATTTAACTACTGAATTAGATATATTTCATGAAGGCTTCGATCTAAATGCATTAAGAAAAGTTATGTTGAAAGGAGATGTTGGGATTTATAGGTCAGTCTAGTTTTACATTTAAAACGTTCATTAAAATGTGCAAGATACATAATTTATAAATGTTTCAGATATACAAAAAGTTGCTTAAGTGAAGCTTCTATTTCAGTTACCACTCCTCAACTTTCAAATATTATGACTCATTTTCCAACACTTCAAATTCCAATTTATACATTACTAGATTGTTATAAGAATTTAGTTTCAATGTTAATATATGGAAGATTTGAGAACTTAGAAATTGAGGAGGAACCAGAGCCATTACAGTTACCAACATTAATAAATAGGGAAAATAATTACAATACAGTTGAATTATTGAACTTATCAAAAGTATATAACACAAAAACAAAAGCAGAAATTGAGGAGTTCAATGAGATAATGAATGCCTGGTATGTACTGAAATAAACATATTTTTTATGTAAAATTTGACTAATTCTTATTTTAATATTTCCAGGAGAAATCAAACAGTTGAAAAAGTAATGGAAATTGTTGACAAAACAGTAGATGATGCAACTTTTTCTCAGTGGATAAAACGTTATGATTTAGTATTATACATGTTACAATGTCCTACATAATGTACTATATCATTTCCATTTTGTATATTAAAAATTTGTATATCAAATTTATAATTTTTTAATAAATTAAAGTTTAGTACAAAGTTCACATTTTGTAAAATTGAATTATTGAAAGAGCTCTTGCATGATGCGTTACCCTTAGTTACAAAACGAAATGGAACCAATCGAAGCATGCGCTGAATATACCAAAACTCGTCTATGCTTTTTCGCGAAATGAAGCATATTATAAACAACGTGGGTAAAAAGTAATTTGTAATAAAAAAGGGAACTAGAAGTTAATTTCAATAATGCTATTATAATTGTACTTTAAATATTTATAATAAAACAATTTATTTTACCCTAAAATGTTGTCGACTGTTTTGAAGTCTGTGTTTGGTTATGATGATTTTAAAAGTGATATTCAAAAACAAGCAACAACTGCTATTTACAAAGGTTGACTATTAACATATTTTTATAATAATCAGCATGAAAATTAATTTGTTTGTAAACATGTAGTAGATTTTGATAGTACCTATACAAACAAACAAATCAACATTTAATATATTTTTAGGAAAACAAGATGTGTTTGTTTGTATGCCAACTGGATCTGGAAAATCACTTTGCTTTCAGTTGCCAGCTATAATGAAAGAAAATAAAGTTACAATTGTTTTCTCACCGCTGTTAGCTTTAATGAAGGTATATGAGTGATCGATACTTCTATGAAATATAGTTATAGAAAATTAAGTTAAATAACTAATGCACTACTGATTTATTATTACAGAATCAAATAGATTTTTTAGTTAGTACAAAGATAAATGCAAGATCATTGAATTCAAATACAACCACAAAAGAAAGAAATGCAATAATTAAAGATTTAATGTCTGATACTCCAAAAATAAAATTATTATATGTTACTCCAGAAATGGGAGCACAACCACATTTTCAGGTATATTTTTAACTGACATTGATATTAAAATAATAGGATATGCTTTAATAATTATTGAAATTATTTTTTTGCAGGACATAATAATAAAACTAAAGAAAGCAAAAACATTATCTTATTTTGTAATTGATGAAGCACATTGTCTAAGTCAGTGGGGTCATGATTTTAGACCTAGCTATAGACAGTTAGGAATATTTAAGAAATTATGTCCTAATATTCCTATAATTGCATTAACAGCAACTGCTGCAAAGGAGGTAGATATTTCATAAATCCATACTTAATGCTTTTTGTAATAAAATATATTATTCCAGGTAAAAGATGATATTATGCAGTCTTTAAACATGAAAAATCCCTCAATATTCTCAGTACCTGTATTTCGACCTAATCTTTACTATGATGTATGGTTTATAGAAATATTAGATAAGCCTTTTGAACACTTAACAAATTTTATAATAGAAGCTCTTGGTTCTCAAGATGAATCTGTTCCAAAAGTAAGTTATTATTTGCAATCTAAATATGTATTTCTTATGCTTTTATAAATTAAAAATTTTTCACTTCTATAAAAAGTCACTGTAAAAACTATTTTAGGTACAAAAGAGTTGTGGCATTATTTATTGTAGAAAAAAGGAAACGACTGAAATAATTGCAAATAAATTATCTAAGTCGGGAATATCTACTCTAGCATATCATGCAGGTTATACCTTAGTATTATTTCGAGCTTGTGTGAAATTTATAACTTTTAAGGATATAGTGGGGTAAACAGTCATGTTTGTAGGTTTGAAAAATCAAGAACGTAATGAAGTTCAAAACAAATGGACATCTGGTGAAGTACCTGTTATTGCAGCAACCTGTAGTTTTGGAATGGGTGTAGATAAGGGATCTGTTAGGTACATTATATTACTTGATAAAAATATATACTGCGATTTTCATTATTCAAATAAGCAATGTGCAATATTAATCTTGTACAGATTTGTAGTACATTGGACAGTTCCTCAAAATATAGCAGCATACTATCAAGAATCGGGTCGAGCAGGCAGAGATGGTAAACCAGCATTTTGTAGAATTTATTTTAGTAACGAAGAATATAAGCCCATTGCATTTCTTATCAAAGAAGAAATTACCAAGAAAAATTCGGAACTTGTAAAATTACGATGGAAAAATTTTGAGAAAACTGTGGCATATTGTCTTGAAGCAAAGTAGGAATCTCAAGCTCTTTTCCGTGTTTTTCTTAATATTGTATTCAGCGATTAATTTTATACATATAATATTGTATAGATGTCGGCACGGAATATTTTCTAAATATTTTGGGGATGGACCACCGCCATGTAAAGATAGATGCGATGTGTGCAAAAACAAAGATCTTGTTCAATCAAGGATATCACAGTTTGAAATGTCCCAAACTAGGACATCCCAAAAATCTAGTAGTAATTTTGATGGTTTTGGATTAGCAAAGTATGACTGTGTGTAAGTAACTTATTGTTGCTTCAAGCTTATGTGCTTTTGGTTAAGATGTGGCTACTGTAAACGATTATATAAATACGTAGTGACGAGGAATACAAAGAAGAATCAGGTTCAAGAGAGAGGCTCATTGCTGAAAGCAAACGGGAAGCTAAAGAGTTAATTGATAAACAGTTTTCTATTCGAAGAAACAATAATAAAATGGACGAGGTATGCATACTTATATTTAGAGATTTAAACTATTTTTTTATCATCGCATCATTCCAGTTAAAAAAACAAAATCGCGAAGATGCTAAACAATCTCATGTGCGCGCAGCTGAAAGTACTGACATAAAAATAAAGGGTTTAGCTGTTCAAGTGCGAGAACATTTTTACAATCAGTTAAATTCAGCATTGAAAGATAATTATGAAAAAATGGTTCCCGACGTATTGGGACCCTTTCAAGAGAAACGTCTGCACAATGTAGCACAAGATCTTGAGTATAAAGTGTTATGCAATACTAAAGTTGCAAACAAATATAAATTTGATATGTCTAAATTGGTACGTAATGTAGTGTTTTATTCGCGTATAAGATGCAACAGTTTTAACCGAGTGTTTATTTTGTCCATGAAAATAGATTTCCTCTGTACGAAAATGTACTAGCACTAATACGCTTCATGAGTGTTTGAGTGATAATGTGAATTCAAATAATTGCACTACCGGTGAAGATAAACAGGAAGAGAGTAACGATAGTAACGATAGTTTCGAACAAGATACAGGGAACGATAATGCGATAAATAAGTTTTATGATAAAGATATTGGTACTTCTTTTAAAAAATCAAATACAAACAGAGATATTTCATGTTCTACCTTTAAGACTGCTTTGGAACTTAGAAATGATAGAAGGTTAATGGCAAGTACAGCTAACAATAAAAAAAAATATTTGTTTGATTCGAGTATTTTGACAAATGACAGTAAAGATATTAACGTGTTAGGGACGAAAAATAAAGACAGTGATTCTCCTGCTAAAGTGGATAGTGAAAAAAATATGACGTTAACAGAAGATAAAAGTAATGAACTTCAGCAATTAAGCGGATTCACGTGTGCCCGAAAAATTCACGAAGAGAATAAAATATCAAAAACTGAAGATAAGAAGTCACGCAAATCTTCGAAAAAGTTAGTAAAAAAAGATTCAGAGAAGAAGAAAACATCTGCGAGTAAAACGGTTTATGATCAAATTTTACAAGCTGCAAATTCAAATCCTAAAAGGACGATTGAACATGTTGCTAATGAGTCACTTTCGGAAGATAATAAAAGTATCGATAGTACAGTTATAACTAAGGATGCAACAGTAAACAGTCAAACTAAAAACAAACGTAAAAATATCAATTTGTTTAAAGACAATACGAATGCCGAACCCAATAAAAAATTAAAATTCAGTGAAGAAAAGGTACTTGCAGTTGATACTGAAAGAACTATCGATCATAATAGCGAAGTTAATGTGAACGAAATGTCTATTAATCAAAAGATAGAAAGTGAAACCAGAAAAGATGACATTAATGATGTTCAATGTGAAGAAGTATTATCGATGATAAAAACAGTGGAAGAAGAAATATCAAAAGAGGGGTATACAGTGGTTCAACATTTAGAAACAAAACAGGATAAAACACGCCGATCAAAACATGAAAGCAATAAGAAAGTACTTGTACCCGCAGATAAAGCTACGCAATTTAAGACTGCAGAAATTTTGAAAACACATTTAATGAAATACTATCCATCCAAGCGTATTCCCGATAGAACAACATTTTCAAAAACTTGCAGAGAAATGCATTACAAAATTCTGGCTAAAAAAATATTCGGTAAAGATTTTGATAAATTGCTTCACTATATTTATTCACCATTGTAGTTTAATAATAAATAAATAAAAATTAATTATTTGCAGATAAAGAAGGAATACGAAAATTTGTTGTAAAATACATGGCGCAGAACTAGCGACTTTATAAAAAATGTTTGTTATACATATAACAGCAATCAAAAGGTATTTGTATATATAAACCCGTAAAAAAATGAAATAATAATTTAATTACCCTCTTTGTTTCATAAATCTTAGAATTATTATCTATGTATAAAACACTGCCATTTATTTATCATTGTGGTTTAATTTTAATAGGAATTTTACTTTTTAATTATACTTTTATTTATATACCATATTTTGTTATTTATATATATTTAAGAATTGGTTCCTATTGTAATTATGAAATTTATATATGTATAAACTACTTATATATAATTAATATCCGATGTATTGTGATTGTTTTATATTATTGAAGTGGAAGGAGGATTGGTGAGTATTGTTTAAATTACAAAAACTACAGGATTAATATCTAATGGAATATAATTTTGTTAGAAACATTATTTATTGAGCAATTTTTATAAATACTTATTACAATTTTACTGGCAAGAATTACAATATTTGCATGAAGAATGTAACAGTTATTACATGGTTGAACATTTCATTGAACAAAATTTTTCTCATAAACAACATGAAATTTACAACTAAAGGAAACAGAAATTATTATGTGTACAAAGTGGTTAAGCAACAATTGTTTTATTCTATTATAATTAATATGAGAATATAATTGATAGGAACATGTCTAGTTTCATATTATAATAATACTGTTTCCTTAGCTGATCACAAGTATTAGTTGATTACGTAGATGAGGCAAGATTGATGTTGAATAACTTTTTAAACCTAATTACCTTATAAATAACTTATAAATTACGAGATTACACCTTACTATTTTTGACTTAGCATATACAACTTCAGATGAAAAAATGCTTCTAACTTTACTGTTTTTCCATTTTATATGCAGCACAGTAAATGCATTTATGAATTTAAGATTACTTTATACTATATGTATAAACTTTAAAAATTTATAAACAATGCAAATAATACCTATCAACGATTCATAATTAAAAGTCTATGTACAATATTTACAATCGCAGCAATTTCTTTCAAGCTGACAAAGTTTAATAGTCTTATTATTCCCCTATAATATTCTGATATTTTATAAACATGGTAATAATTGTTGTATTCTACAATTCAATATTCTGCTTCAAAAGTGTTCATAAATTTTATAATTACATAATTTGTAATAACAAACAAGAATAATTATGTACAAATATATGTACTACAATTGAATTCATAAGTACTATTATTAGGGGAATTATTTTTTTTTGAAACGAGATTACTTATGATTACAATTTAATGATTTAAATTGCAACTGAATGAATAATTTCACGTTTGTTATTGAAATATTTGCAAACTATGTAAGATATAGTTTTGAAGTATTTCGACAATTTTTTTATACAATATAAAATAATACTTTTTACAGCTCATGTGGAGCAAAAGTATCTATACAAGATACACAATTATTTATTAACCCTTTCAAGAATGATTCAAAGTTATTATTCAAGTATCACTTTTCCCTGTTCGTTATATGAACGTATTTGTTATATATTTTGTTTAAATTTCATGGCCTCGTATCGCACAAACGGTGCAATTCCAAATTTGTTATGTATTTTCATTGTCCCATCTCCTTTCAAGTATCTTTTATAGTATAATTCCGTACAAATCTCTTAATCACTACAACCAGTCTATAATATCAGTCTTAATGCATTTAATCGTTTATATGATTATGAATATATTTTCATGCAAACCAGCGATGAATCAGATTTGCACGATTATCCCATCGGTGTAAACGATTATTGCACCTATCTCTTCTTCTTTGTCTAACAATCGCACCGGTTTTTTCATGAAACAATTTTGCATACAAATTCCATTAAAAATTAACTAATTTTCATTAATAAACAAAGAAATTTTAAATAATAGATTTTATATATATGAAAGAAGATATTTCACCCGCTATTGTCTCATGTCACGATTTGCATATTAAAAGAATTATATTCAAAAAAATATTTTGAATTTGCACCGTTCGTACCAACAAACGAGAATTAAATTTTGATAGAAATATATGAAAAAATGATACCATTACCACGTTTATATTAGCGTTTGTGCTAAATAAAAAGCTATTTCATAATTCCTTACTAAATAACCCATACATTTATATTTTTATTATTAATGTAAATTCGATTTGAAAGTAAGAGTAACCATAAATTTCAATATACTTAAATTTTGATTCCGATATGTTTAATGGGTTTTGAGCATAAGTGAATTTTACGCGGGAAATAGCCTCTTTCAAGAATTACATCCGTAAATTATCAATCACACTATATCTTCTCTTGAACATGGTAATTGCGGCGATTCTTCAGAGATCGGACTCGCCTCGTTCGGTTGAAGCAACGAACTGTAGTAGATGTCCATTTCTTTGATTTTGCACGACATCCGTCTGTTATTGTTGAAGAATTTATTATTCTGTATTCCAGAGCCTAACCATTGCTGGGGCGTCGACGATCCCTTCATTTGAAATACAAGGATTTTGTGGATACTGATTACTATAAGTATAGAACCCACGATGAACAGGGAATAAATCGCTACGTATTGAAGAACCGGTAACAAGTTTAAATACATCCAGAAACGATTATTCATCGACTGTGGTAACTCGTACATTCCCTGAAAACAACATTTTGGATATTAGATTCCTTTTGTAAATTAAAAATACATTTAAAGAAATAACATTAATTTTTGTATATAAATATAGCCAGCATCGTTGGTCTCGGACCTCATGTTTAGAATTCTACGATTTATATTTTCAATTTTTAAAATTTATAAGTCAGAAACTTTTCAATTATCAGTCAAAGAGTAGGATACAACTTGTATATTAGTGCTGGTCACTGATTTACGACAACGTCCAATAGAAAAAGAAATCATATTGATTTTTCATCAATCAGTTTGAGCTACCGACACAAAATAAAATTTATGCTGTGCATTTGAACTAAAAGTATGTTGCTTATGTAACGTAAATAAATAAAATTAATATTTTTGATTATGAACTTTGTTCTTATCCCCATAGACATAGGGATTGTACAAAATATTCAAATAAAGATGTCGATAGATAGAAGTCGATTTAAGGAAGAAAATAATAGTTGTATCAAGGGGTTGATTATCAACACTAATGTCACCTACAATTTCAATATATAGATATAGAAAATATTTATGTTATCGAACATCGATCTGTACAATATCTAAATTACCGATACATCGGTATGATGCATTGATATAAAAAATCCTATATTGTCGACAATGCAATGTCGAAGATGCGCTACTGATATTTGAAACACATTAAAGTTATTTCATATTAATTGAGCGAGCGAGCCGAAGGCGAGCGAATTTTTTAGTCCATGGTTTGACCTATTTTTTTTATTTTCTTTTCTAGCACTCTGAGGATGTTCTTGTGGCATTATATAGGTTCTAGAGAGGTCACAGAACAATTTCTGACCCTCAGAAATACGTAAAATTGCCTATTTTCGGAGAAAATAGAAATTTTACTTTTTTGTAGTTCCGCCGCTCGTGGCTAAATGGCGCCACATGTACCGTTTTAGATCGAATTCGACAAAAATTGATTTTCTGTCTTTATTAGGCATCAAAACGCATCAAACTCTAATAGAAATTTGTTTCTAAATGCTTCAGGAACCATACTACGTCGCCAAAGTGCCGAAATATCGCACTTTGCAAGCGCAGTAGAATTGACATAGGCGGCTCATATACGTATCGGAATGCTGACACAACATAATTAATCACTCATTACCCGGACATTATTTATGAACTTTTATGATCAAACCATGACAATAATGCATTGCTGACCATTCTTCAATCATAAAAGTGCACTAAATATATCCACAAAACGTGTAATTAATTATTCAAAATGACCTCGTGTATACCCCTTGTCACCGTGGCTGGCCTTATGTTATTAGTCAATAACTAATTAATTTCATTAAAAATCTGAACATATGTGATACGAGAAAGTATCTAGGGAATCACTGAACATTCTTCAACCATAAAAGTTCATAGACTGTGCTCAGAAAATGAGTAATTAACGATTTTGCATACTGATTATCGTGTATATTCCTTCTGCGCGCCGCCCCCGCATGCCAGGGAGGAATAATCACCGAAAAACCATATCCCCGTAGACTTTAATGCAAAATTGAATTTGCTCGCGCTTACGTACTTGACTTTTCAACTTTTTTGTCCACGTTTTTCTCTTGCACCACTCAACCAATTCAACCGGATGACACGGTTGACTATTTTTGCTTTAGCGTGAAATTTACTCGCTCGCTCAACATTGTTAGGCGCGGAGCGCCTCAATCAAACAGACCCAGTTTTGATACTCACGATTTCGAACCACAGTAGGGGTAGAACGAAGTTTTCAAACTTTTCCACCCTGGCCATGTGTCCAATGTTTTGCAGAGCCATGTTGATTTGGAAACGGAAAGCAAGTTTTAGCGGAAGGCCTGATTGTGGTTGAATGTACGCGAAAGATTCATGAAGATCCGCGTTTGGAGTTAAACCCTCCACTGCAGCCAATATACTTGGATCCGATTTGTAAAAGTGCGGATACGACAGAGCTATTGGAAAACCTGTGAATATTGTAAAATACATGATTAGCCGAAAATAAAATTTTTCTGAATTCTTTTACTGTAAGTTGCATTTTGGAAATTTTTAAATTATTGAACTTACACTCAAATGTAGAACTCAAAAGTTTCAAGCTTCTAATTTAATAAATTTACCAATTTTAAAAATGATGAAATCTCAAATTTAATATTCAATGTTTTTCAAATGAAGACAACGTGTTTCTAAATTTAGTGCAAAGTTTGTAAATGCGTAGATTTTTGAAATCGTGAGTTTGCACATTTTCATAAATCACAAATTCGAAGCTCAACGAAATATTTCGCAAATTTGGAAGGTTCCGTGTGAATGAATGTATTATTTATTTTTAACTCGTAATGACATGTGTCGGTGAATACGATTATCATTAAAGTCTAAATTTTCCCATTTCTAATTTAATCGTCATCCTTGACGTACACGTGCCATATCACAAATAGCATAAGCGCAGTAAAATATAGCGACTGTATAATATAAATATTATATGTAATAGCTTATAAGACCAGTACAGTAAATAAATATCAAAATACCGTCTTACCGTAATAGCAATCGGTGACGTCGATTAAGCCAGGTTTCAAACAGTATCCTTTGCGACAGAAGCACTTGTTCTCCGGATTGTAAGCACCATTATCCAACACGTTCTCCACGAACTTGTACTGATACGCGTGCAATCCTTTTATGTACGTTTCTCCAGTTTGATGCTACAAAATATAATTTACGTATGATCTCCCGTTTAATACTGCAAAATATTAGAATTTTTGAGTATTTCTTTCGTTTAATTTTGCAAAATGTTATAATTTATATATGTATTTCTTGGTAGAGCAAAATATAATTTTGTTCTAATTTGTTCTAAGATTGTTCTAATCTTTCACTATTTTTTGAAATACGACTATATTTTTGTATTTTCTCCAATTTTTACAATTACAGTAGACTCTTGCTACATTGCCATCTTTCGTACAATATAAACGTTCCTCTAAATAATTGATTGTTGCTTCAACATACCATGTAGGCACTGCGACAAAGACTTTTTCTGTAGAACAATACAGTCTCATTCGGTCGAAGATAACTTGGGAACTTGACGCCGTCACTGGCCTGGTTCACATTCGCGCATTTTCCTGTCCATTGCGGCAGATTCACGTCGCCGTTGTACTTTTCGATTAAGCCTGTTCGACGAATGTCGTTTGCCCCCGTGTAAACGGTCTCAACGTCACCGTCAAAATCGTACATCTATCAAATAAATTGAATCATGTTGTAATGCGGGCCCCAAATTTAACACAATCATAAGTGAGGACTTCAAAGATTTGTAACAAGTTAATTAGTCATGTGGGAATATAGAGATGTAGGCATTTGGAGATATGATTGAATAGGTATCTAGAGATTTAGGGATCACGGAATATAGAGATTTCGGGGTGTAGGAATTTCGGGATATAACAATTTTGTACTACAGGAATTTTGTTACATAAATATTTCAGAATACGTGAATATCCGTATACATGTATCTAGCCATATACTAAAGAAAAACTAAACTGATATTGATTTATGGATGTTTGTCAAGTAACAGCATCTGGTGATTTAATTACGAGGTGAGATGTCATCTCGCAATAATTTCATGTAAAATAGCGTTTGTATTTATACATTCAATTAGCGATTCATAAATGCTTATAAAACTTGTCTGAAGTTAAACAAGACAATTTTTCACGGAGATGATGCATAGCATAGGAAATACGGAAAATCATTCTGTTTATTATAGATGACTAATATTAATTATCCACTGTGCGATTCTTCATATTCATTAGATTTTTATTATCATGTATAAGACAGATAAGTGTCATACTTTTCACTTTAGGAAGAAATATATCATTCGAAGCTTTGAAGGATAACGGGTTTAGAAATATTTTTCCTCTTTTTTATATTCTGAACGTCATTGTAACATCATGGAAAATCTTTTCATTCGATAATTTTATTTCTAATAAATTCGACAAAATTATTTATGACTCAGTTGGCTGTGGTGAGTTTATTTTTTACGAAGGTTTAATTTTATTTATTTTTGTTGGGTCGAATTGTTAAAGTATAATCAATTGAAGCCTATTTTTTGTATAATAATATAATCGATTTATATTGTAAAATAATTTTCAATTGAAAAAGTGATAGATATAAGAAAAAATTGATATATTTAAAATGGGCGACATTTAGACAAAGTTAACAAGGAAGAAACTTACCCTATCGATGAGACCGAGTTTGTCAAACTTGATCCAAGATGGCATCATTTTGTTCCCAAGACTAACAAGAGTAGACTCGTATCCGAACATGAACTCTTTAGCAGTCATTTCAACTAAAGGTTGTGAATTCGTATTCGTAATCAACAAATTCAAACCTAATCTAGAGAAATAATTGGAATCCTTCATGACGTTTGTAATACTCTGAAACAGAAGAAAAAATATATTCAAGGCAACGAACACATTTGCAAACCACTATCAGTTAATTAGAAAAATGTACAAGAATTAACAACAGCTTATTCATAGAAAAATTTCTAGATTCTTCTTTATGCCATGCAAATAACGTTACTTCGCGTAATATGTTGCTTAATTCTATATGTAACCAAAAAATTAGTAACTAATGCGTTACTTAAAACTGTTTATAAATTAATATTAATATGCTAGTCATGTGTTAATGAACACACTCTCGGCTGGATACGCATTTTCCTAGCATTCCGGTTTTTATGGCTAAAATTTACCTTCTTTAAATTATCAGACAGTAAACGGTTTAAAGTGCAACACGTGAAAGAAACATTTTTAGAACGTTTAGCTATTTCACAATTTTGTAGATTCTTGCAATGTCACATCATAAATTTATCGACCATTAACTGAACAAATTTTACACCTTATAAATTTTTATGTGAAAATTCAATGTTTCTGAGAGTAATATTCAAATGCGAGTTTTTCACAGCAGGTATGTAGCCAAAGATATTGCATGGTCATAATGATGATGATGGTCATTTTTAACTATTATAATTTTGAAATAACCATCTTAACCATTTTTCGTTTTATCCATTGAATTAATGTATCTATTGAATACAATAATAAAGTGTGTATTTATAATACATATAAAGTATATATCTATATATTCACGCCCCCATTTATCTATTATTTTCAGTACAAATAATTTTCCAAAATTTGTACGAAGTATCTCATCCAATGTCAGAACAACCCTATCTGTAATGCGAGTATTAATTAACGTTATTGTTGCTCCTGTCCATATATCTCCGATTTTCGAGTCGCATATCTAATCTTCCTCATTACGAAACACGATATCCAATGTATGTTGAAGTTAATTAGCGATGATTTGTTATAGTATAAAATTTAACCGGGCATAATTTATCTCCGCGTATCGTCTTCTCACTTCGTTATACCGCTTCCATTTTCTTCTAGTATCAGGTTAAACGATGTATCGTTTGTATCCATTGCCGTGCAAGAGCTAACCATTTGCCTGAGCTATCGTGGTCTTGATTTTATACGAAACTTCATCGACGCTGGTGTAAATTTATCAGACGTTTATCGAATAATCTACAAGAGGAACTTGCACGACTTGAGCCAATGTTCCTGTTGATTGCATACATATGCATCAGCTGTACGAGTTTGTGTACGTGTTGCACGAGGATGCTCTTGGCAAATTGTTGTGGACTACCATTGATCGAATAGTGCTTTTAAGAAACAAGGGTTTCAACACGGTTTGTTTTATCACTTTTTTATTCAGTTATTTTTGAAGCGTTGAGTGCTTTTCAATTTTATCATTCTTTTGGTTTTGTTGTTGCTAATTTTTTGGGAGGAATATTAGTAATTAGGGGGGTAGGTATAAGGGTGGTTTATGGATTATTATGGGGATTTCAGTACCACGTGTGAGTGATGGAAACCAAATTTGAAAATTGCCTAATATTCACAATTTTTTATATTTTAACATTTTAGTGATATTTTTCGAGTTCTCAATTTTCTAGCGTTTCATATTCTCAAATTTCTAAATTCTCAAATTTTCACTACTTCTAATTTAGGTATTACTAAACTTTTTAATATGTAAAGTCTTAAATTTCCAAATTTAAAAATTTTCAAGTTATAGTTTTCTAAAGTTTTGTACTGTCAAATTTGTAAATTCTAAAACACTGAAATTTTTACATCCCTTAATTCTGATATTTTTAAATCTTTTAATATTCAAATTCCTACATTTCCAAATATAGAAACATTTAAGTGCTCAATTTCTGTTTACTAATTTTAAGATCATCAAATTTGAAAGTTTCCAAAATTCTAACTACAGTTTCAAAATATTTTTTTCTACTCGATATATTGTTATTTTATTGTTAATTTTGAACGTATACTTCCATTATGAAACAATCCTACGATTCATCATAGTTACGGTGCTTTCTCAACACCGCGAACATGATGCACTCGTTAAGAATGTCTTCGTGCAATGAATGAAAATTTATTGTACTCATTGAACGCGTAGAAAACCGTGGTTTGCTTTTCTAGGGAAGCAAAATGATTCATACGGAATGTTTGGTTAAATACCTTTCTACGATTCAGGGAATTTTCGATGAATGAATATTGTACGCCCTTCAATGATTTATTTTAATACGTATTATTCGATCTCTGCCTTTAATTATACGCTGAAATATCTGGTTGTGGTTTTCATTTATACGATTCCAGGAATAAATTTTTAATCAAAATAAGCGATAAGTCTAGTTATTTATCAGGAAGTTGGAAAATTTACTAAAATAACTGATTGCTAATTTTTTAAATATCCAAATTTCTGAATTTCTGAGTTTCTGAGTTTCTGGGTTTCTGGGCTTCTGAGTTTCTGAATTTCCAAATTCTCAAATTTCTAAATTCTCAAGTTTCCAAATTCTCAAATTTCCAAATTTCTAAATTTTCAAATTCTCTAGTTTTTAAATTCTCTAGTTTCCAAATTCTCAGGTTTCCAAATTCTCAAATTTCTGAATTCTCAAGTTTCCAAATTCTCAAATTTCCAAATTCTCAAATTTCCGAATTCTCAAGTTTCCAAATTCTCAAATTTCCAAATTCTTAAATTTCCAAATTCTCAAGTCTCCAAATTCCCAAGTTTCCAAATTCTCAAGTTTCCAAATTCTTAAGTTTCCAAATTCCCAAGTTTCCAAATTCTCAAGTTTCCAAATTCTCAAATTTCCAAATTCTCAAGTTTCCGAATTCTCAAATTTCCAAATTCTCTAGTTTTCAAATTCTCTAGTTTCCAAATTCTCAAGTTACCAAATTCTCAAATTTCCAAAGTTTCAAGTTTCCAAATTCTCAAATTTTCAAATTCTCAAGTGTCTAATTTCTCAAATTTCCGAATTTCTAAATTTCCAAATTACCAAATTGCTAATTTTTCAAATTTCCAAATTTCCAAATTTCCAAATTTCCAAATTTCAAAATTTCAAAATTTCAAAATTTCAAAATTTCTAAATATCTAAATTACTATGTCTTTAATTTCCATCTTCGAAACTTTCAAATGACCAAGTTCACTTCCAAATTATTGAATCTTGAATCAAACTTGAAATAATAAATTCAAAATAGCACAGTATATTGTGCGTTATGCTTAATCAATAATTCAAAAGCAGTATAATCAATACTTTTACCAATTAATTTCTTTATCATTCGGTCAATAAAATGCAGAACTTAGCACAACTGCCTGATTTTCCTACAATAACTTCGCCAGTTATTCCCCGCTCCATGTTTTTCCTCTGAACAAGAAACGAATTTATAAAGAAAAAATGGAATTTAAATGCCAAGAAGTTGTTTCAAGTGCGTGGACGGATATCATTCAGATTGAATTTACGTCACAAGTGATCACTATTAATCGAAGAGCTCAAGGTTCACAGACGCAGGTGATTATAAGTCAACTGGAGCAAAAAAGAGCGGATATGCAAATTAATGATCTGATTCCGTTTGTGTGTGAGCGAGAAGATAGTAAACTAATAATAATTAACTGGATTGTGCGATGACGAACGATTTGATGCATCGCCTTGTAATTGTCTATAATTCTCATTTCCATGAAAAGATGTAATCTTATGTCATAACCATATATTACAGTCATGTTTTTCAAACTTTATTACTTGTTCGATCGAGATATACATATTATTTATGAAGATTTGTTGTGTTTCTGATTAATTTTGCATTCTATGATTTTTGCAATAGTGTAACAGGAGAGATTTTTTTAGAAGCGATAATTAATAGCAAATTAGTATATCTGTTTTCACATGTTGTTTGCAACATTGAAGCAAATGAAAAGTTTATTAGGTTGTATTTTTATTTTTCACTTGCATCTCATCACGCACTCGTTCTTCAGGCGTGAACAATTTTACTGGAATTTTTAATACACTGCTTGATTTACTAATTTGGAATTCAAGTACGATTATATTTTGCATATTAATATCGCAGCTGTAATTAGTTCTGATTGACACACCTGACAAATTATATTGCAAGGGGTTAATAAACTGTAACCTTATATTGTCATAATATTTTATGCTATTTATTTTTTATTTTGAGCAGTTACTAGTAATGATTGCATCATATCAATTAACAGTGTTTTCATAAGAAGATGCAATTCTATCTTACGATCATGTTTTTTATACTTCGATTGAAATGCATTATTATTTATGAAAGTTAAATAGGCTTTTAACGTCTGTGACTAATTCTGCGTTGCATAAGTTTTGCAACATTGTAACACCAGACACATTTTTTGTCTTTTAACACCGATAATGAAAGTAATAACAAATATTATTTTACATTGTAAAAGTAGTCATTTGTAATATGAATGTATGTATAAATAAATTTGTAATATTTACGTTTGCAACACTTACCATAAATTTAAATTAATTTCAATAATTCGAGTAAAATAGTTTGCGTCAGAATTTGTATTAAGATACTAAATTAGTGAAATGTAAATTGTGTATTATTTTGCGTAGAATTTTTGCAACACGTAAGGAGATACAGAAGATATTTTGTAATGGTGAAATGATTCGGATTCAATGCGGAATTATTGTTGATGAAAGGAAAAGGAGAAAACCGGTATGAAATTAAGATTTCGTACGCGAAAATTGTATGCTGTGATCATGGATTTTGCAATAGCTGATCATTGCCCGAAACATAGGTTACTAGTATTTGGGACTCTTTTTATGGCGTGGAACACCTTTCACGTACCACGCAGTCGATTGCAATATTTAATCTATGGGAAAAGCTCGTGAATTGCAAATATCATAACATAGTGAAATTCCAAAGTTTGAAAATTCTGAGCACACCAAATCCTAAAATTCTGAAATTTCAACCTTAAAGACCCGAAATTCCAAATCTAAAAATTTGGAAATTTCCAACTCTCAAAGTCCTAAAATTTCAAACCTCAAAATCCTAAAATTCTATCTCTTCAAGTCCCAAAATTTCAAACTTCAAACCCCTAAAATTTCAAACTCTTAAAGTCCCAAAATTTCAAATCTCAAAATCCTAAAATTCTATTTCTCCAAGTCCCAAAATTTCAAACTTCAAACCCCTAAAAATTCAAACTTTTAAAATCCCAAAATTTCACATCTCAAAATCCTAAAATTCTATCTCTCCAAGTCCCAAAATTTCAAACTTCAAACCCCTAAAATTTCACTCTTAAAGTCCCAAAATTTCAAATCTCAAAATCCTAAAATTCTATTTCTCCAAGTCCCAAAATTTCAAACTTCAAAACCCTAAAATTTCAAACTCTCAAAGTCCCAAAATTTCAAATCCCAAAATCCTAAAATTCTATTTCTCCAAGTCCCAAGATTTCAAATTTCAAACCCCTAAAATTTCAAACTCTTAAAGTCCCAAAATTTCAAATCTCAAAATCCTAAAATTCTATTTCTCCAAGTCCCAAAATTTCAAACTTCAAACTCTCCAAGTCCCAAAATTTCAAACTTCAAACCCTTAAAATTTCAAACTCTCAAAGTCCCAAAATTCCAAATCCTAAAATCTCAGAATCTGAAATTCCCAAATCCCAAAATTTAAAAATACCAAATTACCTACAAACTGATTATTATTTGACTAATTTAATGGAACACGAATACACTGAACGTTATCCTGACAGCATTGCCATTTAAAATACCATCTTTGATAGATCATTAACCCCATTGGCAATCGTTCAATACTTACAACCGAAGCATGTATCGACACATTGTCACTTATTGTTCTATTTCTAACTAACACATTGTTAAATAACTTTTTTGAAGAAACCCTTTGATATTCCTCTCGCGTTCCGTGTGCAACTGTTTATCGTCGAAACACATATACATGTACATATAAATTATCGACATTAATTGAGCATCTTATGCGCTCATTAACACATCGTTCGATTAGATATTATTTGAATGTATATGTATATCTTTCATTAAAATGCAGACATATTCATAGAGTTATTTTATCGCAGTTACTTTTTTTGTCTGATGATGTTGATCGAAGTCATTGATGTATTTACGTTTAATATGTCATATTATACATAATAAAAGTTATGACCACGCTAATTATTACATCGTTAATTAGTTTTATCTTATCTTATTATTAATTATTTTCGTTTGGTATTTTTAGAGATTAGAGTCACGTGTTTTATCTCCGATATTAGTTTTTGCGGATATTGTTAATTAATTTGTAATTAAATTGATTGTCCCTGGTTCGAATATTTGAGAATTTCGAAATTTTCATCTGTTTATTTGTAAATTTTCTAAATGAATTTGAGACGTTAAATTGAATTTCAGTTAAATTTGGAAGGTTGGACATTTGAGAATCCAAAAAATGAAAAATTTGAAAATTTGCAAATACAGAAATTTAAAAATTAAAAAGATTTTGGAAACCAGAACATTTTTGAATCCGACATTTTTGAAAATTAGATTATTTCTAAATTTTTAAATTCCAAAATGTTCTCACTAATGTTAAAAAACGTATGATTAAACACGACGATACCAATTTTAGATAAAAAATGGTTCATCAGCCTGCACTTGAAAATACGCTGTTCTTTTCTTGGAATGTGATTTATACGTGGACATAAACGAAACGAGATTCGTGTACGCTTTAAGGATCATTTTAAATCCGCTGGGTCGCATACTCCATTTAATAAAAACACTGGGTTCGTTCACTCGAGGGTATTGTCCTCGCTACGATTTAGCTTGCATACATATTTATTAATGTTGCAAAATATCTTGGGAGAATTGACTAAGAGTTTGTCATTTTTTTTATGTCTTTTTTTATGAGTTCCTTGACATCGGTGAATTTATCTGTTGTGAATTGAAAGAACACTGAATTCAAACTTGTTTCACGCAAATAAAATATTATTGTGAAAAACCACATGCAACGAAATTATTGCACTTTGTTTAATTGGAGATCCTAATTAATTATGTAGATCATTCGTATACTTCTTTTTCAATAAAATTTTAATTTAACATTTATTTATTTAATTAAAATTTATTTATTTATTTAAAATTATTTATTTAACATTAGCACAGTATCATAATAAAATATGTACAAATTTTTCTAAATCCTTCATGTTGAAATAAATTGAAAAAATAATGTCTTTTTTTTAAAATTAATACTTATTGCTAAAATTCTTTTTAACTTCCTTCCTATCATTTATTCCAATATTTCTCATCTGTAATATCGCCCGCAGTAAAATCGATAGTCACTTAATTATCGAGAGATAAACATACTAGATCACGTAAAAAACGCTTTTCAAGTCTTTTAATTAATCGAAAGACTCAAAACAGCAATTAAATAAAAAAGTGGACAGTATTTGATGCAGTAATGGAAGTTTGCAATACACGAACTGTAGTTAATTTTTTGTACGATACATTACGTTCTCGAAGGAAGAAAATTGATAATCGGAATGTATCTCAGAACATATTGCAATTGTAACATTTTCACTTACCAATAAAGCGATGTTTGGTAGTATTGCTAGATCTTCTTCCTTTCCACCGCTCATTTCCGGTACATACGTTAAGGGATGGCGAGGAAACGTCGTTACAGTGCCATTGTTGTTGAATGTCACATCTGCATGTTCGATCACCTCCCTGAAATTTCATACAAATTATTCGTTAAAAATCAATAAGTACTAAATCAATAAGTATTGAATAAGTATCCAATACATTTATCCAATTCATTCAAATCAATCATGCTTCAAACGAAGTAATTCATTCTTGTAATTTACACAGTGCTGATTTTCGTTCCAACAGTTCAATTTAATAGTCAAGAAGTCAGGTTCAAAAGTCAGGACATTTAGGTAAAATTTTACGTAAAGATTGGAAAATTTTAAACATCTCAGAAAAATGGGACGTCCTAATTCTATAACTAATACACACTGTAAATGAATAAATGAATAAATTAAATTTTTGCTAAGTAAAATCTTGTTCAGAATGATGTCCTCTATCACCCCTTTCAGGGAGTAACACTAATTACGAGACATCTTGTATATAATAATTGCCAATGAATAAATGACTAAATTATATTTAACAATTGCAAATATATGAATACATTATAACAATAATTGCAAATGAACAAATTAAATATAATAATTCCAGAAGAATGAATTGCACAATCATCAAAATGGACTTTAATTAATCTCCGACATTCTAAAATCGTTCTGTACATCAAAATGCAAATTCTAACCCCTAGTGTTTTAAACGATGTTTATCTTCTAAGTTTGCAAATAGCACTTAAGCTATAAATGTCCACACACTAATTATTTCGTAACCGACTCCTCGATAAGATGCGACAGACATTATCAGTAAAACTCATCGAAATACATTAATGTTATCGAGGTATCAATCGATTAATTAACATGTACTCGTACCTGTAAGTGTACGGACCAATTTCCTGGAAGCGTAACTTGCTCGCTATACCGGACATGTATTCGTCGCGATTCGTTATGTTGAACAAATAGACTTTCAAGTATAGTTCGACATCGGGTTTCCGCCATAATTCAAATATTTCGCCTCCTTCGCTGAATATCACCTTCAACTTGAAAAGCAGATCGTACGGTTGGAGTACGAAGAGAATGCAACCAGTGGCGAGTCCGAGCGAGCCCAACGTCATCAGCATGAAAATACCTGCACGCAGTAAGAGATAAAAAGTGAGTATGCGATGCACGTGATTAAATGTACGAAAAATTTGATTAGCACGTCACGCATGCATGGTGTTTTTAAGGAATATGACAATACAAGAAAAATGAAATTTTAATATTGGTAGTTGGGGAAATTGCAAAGACATAAATTTAGGAAATATGGGAATTTAGAGGATTTAGGGAATTTGAGAAATTTGAAGATTTGGGTAATGTATGGGATTTAGGGAATTTGAGATATGAAATTGTGAGAATTTGGCGATTTAGGGATATGGGGGTTGGAAAATTTGGGGATTTAGAGATTTGGGAGTTGAAAAATTGGGATGTAAGAAATTTGGGATTTGAGAAATTTAGGATTTGTGAAATTTGGGACTTGAGAAATTTAGGATTTGTGAAATTTAGGACTTGAGAAATTTGGGATTTGGGAAATTTGGGATCTGCGAAATTTGGGATTTGGGAAGTTTGGGACTTGGGAAATTTGGGAATTGAGAAATTTGGAACTTAGGAAATTTGGAACTTGAGAAATTTGGGACTTGGGAAGTTTGGGACTTGGGAAGTTTGGGACTTGGGAAGTTTGGGACTTGGGAAGTTTGGGACTTGGGAAGTTTGGGACTTGGGAAGTTTGGGACTTGGGAAGTTTGGGACTTGGGAAGTTTGGGACTTGGGAAGTTTGGGACTTGGGAAGTTTGGGACTTGGGAAGTTTGGGACTTGGGAAGTTTGGGACTTGGGAAGTTTGGGACTTGGGAAGTTTGGGACTTGGGAAGTTTGGGACTTGGGAAGTTTGGGACTTGGGAAGTTTGGGACTTGGGAAGTTTGGGACTTGGGAAGTTTGGGACTTGGGAAGTTTGGGACTTGGGAAGTTTGGGACTTGGGAAGTTTGGGACTTGGGAAGTTTGGGACTTGGGAAGTTTGGGACTTGGGAAGTTTGGGACTTGGGAAGTTTGGGACTTGGGAAGTTTGGAACTTGGAAAATTTGGGACTTGGGAAACTTGGAACTTGAGAAATTCGGAACTTGGGAAATTTGGAACTTAGGAAATTTGGGACTTGGGAAATTCGGAACTTGGGAAATTTGGAACTTGAGAAGTTTGGGACTTGGGAAGTTTGGGACTTGGGAAATTTGGGACTTGTAAAATTTGGGACTTGGGAAATTTGGAACTTGGGTAATTTGGGGTTTAGAAATTTAATCCCTTACACAAAGGAGAACTTTCCAATTGATTTAAAAATATAATTCTTTTGAAAATATAATAAGGAAGAAATTTCTAAAGTAGTAACTCGAGAGGTCTGATACTGCAAATATTAAAAAATTGATAAATTATTATATTGCAACAGTATCAGTATAATCCTGGTCCAAACTAGACCCCACTGTCCCTCATAATCACACCTCCTACATTAATTAGAGCACTATATTCAAATTTAAATTTCTATTCAAACACAAATCCTCAGAATATACTAAACGATTTGCCTCAAGATCATTAAGAAAACATTTTCTTCCGATAATCTCGCGTCTATAAATACACACATCAGATAAAGTCGGTTACTTCACATATTTACCATCATTAAAGTTTCCAATAAAAGTCCCGTATATTTTATCTGTCAATAAATTCGATCATACAGCTGGTTCACGATTCACTACACGTGACACTATTCGAAAGTTTTCCATTTTACGCGATTCGAAATATTACAAAACAATTTATCGTGGAAAACAGGCAAACGCATTACGTCGACAGATCGATCAAGGCGTAACGCTTGTTTATTTCTTATCGAATGATCGACAACGCATTAATGATCTCGATTGCAAATTTAATGATTGTCCGGAACTCTTGCACGCCTCGATTGCGTAATAGAATGATGCTCTACTTTTCTACGCTTATTTCCATTTTTTCCATTCTTTTTTTTTGCTTCGAATCGGGCAACCTTCTAATTTATACGTATCAAATTATACCGCGAAGTTTGATACTTCCGACGTTCTTTGGAAATATTGCGTGTCGCGAATGATTCGTTAGATTTGCATGAGACATACTTGGAATACGTGGGAATTCCGGTTTACTCTGAAATTCTTCCTTTATCTTATTATACATGTTCTCGGTCGAAAATCGTTTGATGAATTTTAAAAGAACACGTCACGACACTCAAGGAAAACGCGGACGTACGACGTTATGCTGATCTTTAAAATACTCGATCACGCGATCATCCCCGAACGAATATCATTTTTGTTCAATTTTACTGACACACCGACCTCGGTTTTTAAATAAAACGGATGTCACAGTTATTCTCAATGGTCGATACTTTCAACTATGCTTCGAATGTCAAGGTACTATAAGTTGGTGCTGTTAGTATTAACAAGAACATGTTTCGTTAACACCAAACATATAATGTGTATTTATTTTGAAATTAAAAATGAATAAACGAACAACAAAACATAAATTAGTACAAACATTAATTCTTTATTTTGATGAAAATCAACTCTGATTTCAAAGAATGTATTTTAATAAAATGTGTATCTTATAATAAGAAAATGGTGGAGCGGTCATTTGGCTTGGTAGTTTTAGTGTTAAAAAATTAATGTATTTGAGTTAATCATTTTGTATATCTTCTGAGTTGTTCGATGTAAATTATGAACCACAATTAAAATACAATTGAAATGAATAATTATTAGAAACGTTGTTCTATCTGGATGTCTTGGATATTCTTTTCATACACAAAAAGATGCGACAATATTCAACTCTCGACAATAATAGAAATAATGGAAACATCTGTGAGATCTAAATATATTTAGAGTTAAACATTATCTTGTTGTAAACAAGGTTACGCTCTACTGATTATGTCAGCGAAATGTCAAACAAAAATCTTCCTAAAAATCATGAAAACATCGATTAGCTCGGAAACGAGACACAACTATCTTAAGAATACATTTAAATAATTCGATAGGCAGGAAATTAAGAGGTACTTTGTATACTTTGTTGTTCCGCATAAATTTCTAATAAAGGTTTCTAGGATAGCACTTTAGATCAGTGTTTCTCAACCTTGTTTTAATCTAATGGATTTGTGATATCTCAAAAATATTTGTAACATATTTGTTTAAGTTTAAAATTACTGAAATCTTGATATCATCGAGTGCAGGGAAAATGTATATTTTTTGACAAAATGAAATGTGACCTTGTCATTGGATTAACATTTAACCCAATCTTATTAACTTGAGTAACATTTAATGTCTACTACAATTTTAACACTACAATTTGAATTATTACAAATTAATAGTGGATCATAAATCGAAAAACTCTGTTTTCGAGCGTCAGAAAGTAATTCGAACAGAATTGTACGAAGAAGAAAATCGATAGAGCTTATCGACGCACGATAATTAATCGAGTGGACATTAAATTCATTCGTTAACGCAGCGTTTACGTGTTCTCGCACGATGTTGATCCTTGACGGAATAAATTTATTGCGACATGTTGCGTATCACTGCGATTCGCTGTTATTTATTGACGCGTACGAGAAGAATCACGAAAAACCTTGGATCTCTTTTGAGATTAGGTATGAAGGTTCTTGATGTTGGATTCTGCGTAATTTTCTATTATTGTTACGGTACTTTTCATGAAATTTGCTACGGTTGGAAAAAACACAGAGTGAACGGTTCTTTAACGAACGACTCGGAGACTTCAATGCTGGGTAATGTCGATGTGACAGACAGAGATAAAGTATTTGCACGACACAAAGTTGCGAATTGTTAATTTTATTCGTTGGAACTTTTCCACGGATCTAGAGCGTTTAAATCAACGCGGGAAATCAAAGGAATTTAATTTATGGAATAGAGAACTTGAAAATTGTGCGTGAAAATCTATTGCAGCCATTACTGGTCTTATGAGCTCTTACAGCACTTTCAGCACTCTTTTAATTTATTATACTACGTAATAATTGTCTACTGTAATAATTTATTAGAATAATATTTAGTATCTATAATAAAAATTTCTTTCTGCAAAATTTGATCTGTTTTGGGTATGCCAATATAATATGTATAGTATAATATATAACATAATGTATAGTCTTTACAATTTATCCTTCAATGAATGACTACGTAAACGTGAGATATTGTGAATATATTGAATTCCTATAAACGTATTTATACATCACGTGAAGAACGTGAAGAACGTGAAGCAATTGATAAAACAGTAATTACGTGAATTAATAAAGTACATAATACTTGAGCAGTTACAGAAATTATTGCGTCAATTTCATTCGTTTCATAAATAATAAATTATTTGAATAAAATACAAATTTTAACTTAATATAAATTAATGTAAAATTTGTAAACTTATTTATACCCTTGAATTCAGACAATGTAAAAATTCCTGTCAAAATATAGTTATTTATCACTCAATCATTACCGTTAAATATTACGGGTAATAAGTTTAAATGGCGTAACCGAGCTGCAATAGACTAAAACTATCTGTTAAAAAAGTTGCAAAGATTTAGAGCGTATAAATACCGAACATCCGAGTGATGCTTCACACGCGAGCTGCTTGAAAATTAGAAATCTTTAGTTTTAGATATGTTAGAAACTAAACCCACTGCAATCAAATCTGCAATTAATTTTACATATTGAAATCAGTGCGGAAACTTGGAGAAGTTATGTAACCTAAAAAAATTTTAGCTCACAATTACTGTTAATTGCACATACCAAATTTTCAGCCATAGACGTTCTTTTTATTCTAAAAAGAATTTTTCATTCGTTATTTGTATATAAAATTTGTGTACTCAGTTAGTAAAAAATTTTAGTTCAGTTATGAAAATTCCAAAGTTATTAATGATAGATACTGAGAGATTTACTCAGCGTGTAACATGTAAGCTATTTGTAAATCAGACATGTTCAGCGATAGTAACGAGTGAAATTTGAACTAGTTCGATGATCATTAATCCTATGCTTTTAGGTGGATCTGGAGCGTTGAAATCAACGTGGAAGATCAAGAGAATTTGCAGTTTATAGAACA